ATCTTTGCTATGAGATCTTACTTGAAAAGAAAAAGAACCAAAAGTAGATTTGTCTGGATTTCAATAGAAACTGCAGGCTTAAAACAGGACAAAAAATCCACATTATAGACTATAATATATGAATTAAAAATTTCTGCACTAGAGTAGAATGCTTATTACAGTAGTATATACAGGGCTACCAAACGCCAAATTATTACTTACAACAGCAATATTGTAAGTAATAATTGTCATCATGCCTAGAATATTACCTTTTAACCCTACCACAAATTTTGTAAGACTGGGCAATGGAAGGAATAGTATTCTATAACGACAAAACATTAAAAACAGGCATAGTATACTGGTAAAAAATCAGGTGCTGTTGGAGAAATGGATCCAGTTAAATGCTTCATAAAGGAAACTGACTGATATACTTGGGGAGGGCAGCCCTTCAACTCATCTGCTACTCAGTTCCTCAGACCAGCCTTCCCAGTGTTTTGGATTACAATGCACAGCCTTCCTAACCACTGAAAATAATGGCTGAGGCTGGTGGGAGTTGAAGCTCAACATATCTGTGGAGCACCAGTTAGGGTAAAGGTGCCTCCAATGAATATGGAAAGAGCATTTCTTAAAGCCTTGAAAATATGGTCTCATCCTTCCGACAGCAGAAACTAAGAGCTGATAGGGCAGAACCATATATGTATTTGACTCTTCTCTAACTCACAAAGTTGTGAAAAAAATATGTTCCTGCTAGCTGAAAAGAAACTCATTACCCCTCATGAAGTGATGTCAGATAAACAAGCAAAACCAAAGGCATCCCATATTTCTGATATCAGATGTTCTACAAATCTGGATATCTAATATCATTTCATAGCCATGTTCTTCCTCTGTGGTACAAACCTCCAAGAAGTTCTAATATTCAATATTTAAATAGTAAAAGAAGTATCCAACGATGTCTTGAACCAAATGGGCATTATTCCTAGCTTATAAAGAAAACTGGTTCCATTTATGTTATTGCTAATATTTTCTGCCTTACCAACTCCTACACTTGACCATGAAGTATCTGTTTGGTAAAACAGGATTCTACTAGTTCTTTCTCAATTTCTTTGTTGCACACATATCCTTATTCTATTAACACAGGAGATAAAGTAGCATAAACTATTTTATATTGTGAGGTGTGACTGAAGAATCCTTGTGGTGGACAAACTGCAACAAAATTCCAAATATACCATTACATACAATGAAACTTAGCTTTTGCTTACAAGAGATCTGCTGTATCCTTGTTTATTTTAGATGCTCCAATGAAGAACATTTTCTTTTGTAAACCTCTCCATTTACCCCAATTCAGTGGTGTTTTAAAAATTGCTTTGTTACTATTATACACCATTTTTGCATTTTCTAAGGTTGATTAATTCAGTTAGGATATTCAGTGAAAGATGCAATCCTAAAAAGGTTGAGACAGAGAAATGTTCTATAACTCCCAGCATGGCTGACCAGGAAATGCTGAGAGCAGTAGGTCATTTTTATGTCTAAGCATGGACAGGATTGCATGCTAAACATCTTTTGCCTTATTGAACAAGTACACCCTGTTAATCAGACATCTCATGAAAATACCAATTATTTTTAATATAAGTATACATACATGATTTCAGGCAACAAGTAGCTTTTTGGAAGAGTTATTTCTCCTTCCCTGTTTCACAAAGAGTATCTCTTCTAAGATAAAAATATGCTACAGTGCATACATCTATCCATTAAAAACAAAGCAGTCTTTTTTCCTTCAGAACTATTTTCATTTATAGGAAACTATTGTATATTTAACTGGTTAATCTACTGAGATTTCTTAACCCAGTGACAAGCCTAATACCTTTTATCCAAATACCTTTTAAAATATTGGCCTATAACTATTATTTGGCACAAACATCCCACCATTCTCTCTCTTCACTACCTCACTTGCACAAAGCCAAAACTCTAAGCAATGAAAATTGTATAGTAACAGTAATTTATAGTAATACAAGTTTTACTATATTGATAAAATCCAAGCTTGAACATTTATTAGAAGTCAATGATCTAGCAACTATGAAATTAAGAAGAGGTTTGATAAGCATGTTTTCTTCTATACCACAAATGACTAACCTAAGTTTGTGTAAGCAAATAGAAGGTTTATAGACGTATTTGCAAAAGTGCAACTGGGTCCTTTTTAATATCATTCATAGTCTGATATCTAATCATAAAAAAAGATTAGTTCATCTAAACTGTTCCATTATTCAAATATCATTGCTATAGCAATGGCTTGGATCGAAAGCACCTTTTGCCTGAGTGGAAGATACTTCTCACATTTGAGGGACATCTGCATCAAAAACTGTTCTGAACTTGCCTTTCTTCTCAGAAGAGATCACAGAATGCGTGCAGCAGTAGTAGGAAGGAAGCAGAAAAGCCCCAATCTAACTCTTTCAGGTGTCTGGATTCAATTCTATGTGATTCATCAAGTTATCAAAATAGATTCCATTAAGTATGGATCCAAATGCTGCTTTCCATGGACAGAAAGGCATATTTTGCATTTTGATCAACTGGAGAGATCCACTGGCAAAAGGGGAAAGACCATTCAACTCTTCTTATTCTCGAATTCAATCCTCAAAATTGATTTTCAGAGGCTGCAAGAAGTTGTAGAGGTATGATAAACTGGCAAAAGTTCCCTGGCCCCTTCCACCAGTGAAACACCACTGCAAACACATCAAGCAGACCCATTTTTTCAATCCCCTCCAACTTTTACCTGCTTATACTCTAGCTTCTGTCTCCCTATTTCCAATGCTGTCTTGCCTTTCCATCCATGAGGGACAGATAATTTCCATTGCAGGGATGCTCCTGCTTTTCCTTCCTTTAATTCCTCTCATCCTCACTTCCCGTACTACCTGCCTGCCTATCTATGCCCCAGCTCACCCTGTCTCCCTGTTCAATTGACTTAAATCTGCTGCCTCTCTTTAGTGCCCTACCTACCAACTGAGTCACATGCTTTAGGACATCTTTATGTACATTAGGACTTCAATGAGAACCACTGAGAACCACTGAGAACTGGGCCAAACTACTCTGTGTAGAGTGCAAAGGAGCCAGCACGTAGATGGGTAGTTTCCAATAAGTGGTACACAAATTTAGCGATCCATTTTTCTCTAAATCTTCGTACATTCATTTACAGCAAGCATATAAATGGCAAGAGCAATGAAAAGCAGCTTAACAAACAACTCATCATATAAATATATTTTGAAACCAGAAGCTGCAGGGCAACTTTTCTTGTATTAGCCAAAATTATGAGGGGTTTTTTCCAATAAAAGAGTATGTTCTCTTTTCTAAGTAAAACAAATAAAAACAAATAAAAACAAATAAAGCTATAGAGGGGAATTTACAAATTTCTTTTTCTTAGTTTCAAATTTCTACAAAAAGAAAAAAGTAACCCTTCAATGTTTTTAAAAATGTTTTAGCTGAACTGCAATTTTATTCTTCAACGTTTTGCAAAACCACAAAAACACAATTGCATTCAGTGAGAAATAACACTAAACATCTCATCAACTCAGTACTTTCACTGCTACTTGCTACTTATATTCCATCATGTAGTTAGAATTTTTTATTTTTCATTTTAGAGAGGTTATCTTTACGAAGCTAAAAAACAACTTGAGTGGACCTAAAGTTAGACACTAGACAAATTTAGTTGGCCCTAAATGCTGTAAATACTGTTCACATATCTTCAACTTATTATTTCAACCATTGTCTTCACAGTGACCTTTAATTAGGTTCCTTTCAAACTGGAGAAGCATTGTTCTTTAGGAGCAACAATTTTCCTTGCTCTCAATTTACTCCAATGCTGAAGTACCAAACTTAGCTACTATTTAACTGGGAACAACAGACTTTTTTTTTTACTTACGATGCACATAAGGCAGATTAAATGGCCTTGGTCTTGCATAACAAGTTCTAAGAAGAATCATCACTTTTTATTGTAATCAGGAGTTTACTGTTATTTCTGGCTGTGAGTAATGCTTTTGAAACTATGTGGATTGCTTTAGAACAATCTAATTTCCCTTTAAGCTCTCTTCCCTCAAAAGCTACAAGAAAGATACCCCCATGCTTTGCACTAGGAAATGGCAGCGGATACTGATCCTGTGAGTAATGTTATTTTTGGTCTTAGTATAAGTGATTGCTATGTTAGGGATCAGGAAGGATTTTCCATGTCATTCAGATCTGATAGCTGACTCAGGCAAGGAAGTAAATGTTGACCTTTCTTTGTAGCATTAAGGGCAGTTGCTTCCCTTTCTGAGTCACAGACGAACTATTTTGCTGTAAATATTCTTCCCCATGGCACTTTCTGCTAATGTGACAATCTAAGTGAGGGAGTATGAATATGTCAGTTAACGAACACTGCAAGCATTAGAAAAGTTGCCATCCTTGTTCATACCCTAGGATGGATAAAAAGCCATGATATTAAACACTTTTAAAAATTTAAATTAGTTTAAAAAAACAGAAATAAAGTACTAAATTTCTCTCATTTAAACACAGGTACAACCAAGCTACATAAAAATTAATCTAGCTGTCTGTCATACTCATACATGTTGAGTTGCTTATCAAACATACACGTTGTTCATTGCTTGAAAAACAGTTCTGTCACTCCTAACTGCCAGTTATTGTCTTTTTATTTGTTTTCCCATCTAGCCGCATGTACAACAGCCACAGATATGATTACTATAGTGGTGGCAAGCTGGACCAAGGCATTATGGACAGTTAGACACAAAGCCAATATAAAGTGCAAAGTTGAATAGTTTTCAGAAAGGAAATACTATGTCTCTCAAATAATAATTAGATTAAAATTAAATAATCCGGAGAGAAGCATGTTAGACATACATTCAATTGCTAAGCAGAACCAAGGGCTGTTCCAGATAGACTGGGGTATGCCATACCAACCCACAATGGCATGAGTTGCTTGTTGTGAAAACAACCCATGTGGGTCTGAGAGATAACTGGCCCCACCACGAGTTGTTTACCTTCTCCATCCAGCTTGGTCCTCACATAAGTATCCCAGAGGATTCCACAGCACGATGAATTTGTCTGCTGTACTCCACCACTGCAACTGCAGACCCTTTTTCACTCGCTAAAGCTTCTTTAGCCCTTCAATCTCATTTTCCTGCATAAAAGAACCTCTTTGCATCATCGCAGGCATTGGAGCCATTTTGCTGCAGGCATGAAGATCATCACTTTCACAGCTCTTTCCTGGTTTTCAGTCCAAAGAACATGACTTGATCATCTCTCCTTGTCCCAATTTATCAACTGGCTTTTTTCTTTGCTTTTCTTTTCTTGCCCAGAACAGTACACAGTGAACTTTTCATCACACTGATACAATGAGTGCATTGTTTCTACCTAATCATGCATCATTTCTGCTGTATAATGCTGCTTAACCTGTTACGCTCTGCATAAATGAAAATCAAAAGGGAAACCAATTTTGTTCTATTGCATAAAGTACCATGCGCTGAATTAAAATCTTCCTTTTGCTGTACCGTAACCCTTTCAAGAAATGTGTTGTTCCATAACCAAACAGATGTTGTACTTAACATATTTATATCTGCAATACTTTGATTACTGTATAAAGTGTCTCAAAGGAACCCAAATATAAAATTATAAAAGCATATAACCACATATTTTCTTTCACACAATTCTGCCCAAATACAAAGCAATTATCAGACAAAATTAATATAAACATCATGGCTCACAGGGCTTATCTGTGCTAACAGCCTTACCTCACATTACTATCCATCTGCAACAGGCATAAGAGCATAAGGACAAAAAGACTGCCACCCTAGGTTCCATTCATACAATGGCAAAGCAACTGCCCACAAGGTCCTACTAGCAATTGTATCTTCCCACCCCAGCAACTTTGTCCACAGGCAGTATATTTCCATCAGAACTAGAAGTCATTGATAGCATTCTCCTCCAGGAATGCATTTAAAGTAATCCAAATTGGTGGCTATCACCACCTCTTGTGAAAGTGAATTCCTCAGCTTAACTATGTACTGTTGAAGTGCAGTCATAACATTAATATGCATATGGGTTTGGCAGTTTTATTTTCAATTCTTTTCCTAATTTTGGATAATATGGAGTTTGCCTTTTTCACACTGGGATGACATTTTAATGAAGCTGTTCACCACAATTCCAAGATCCCTTTCTTGGGCAAGTTATCACTAGCTCAGATCCCATCAGTTTATACTTGAAGTTGGGATTTTTTGCTCCAAAATGCATCACTTCATACTTGCTTACACTGAACTACATTTGCTTTTAAAATGTCCATTCTCCCAGTTTGGAGAGATCAGTTTGGAATGTCTTGCATTCCCTTTTGGTTTTAACCACCATAAATAGTGCCATCAGCAAACTGGACCACTTAACTGCTCATTTAGAATTGAATATGTTGAAAAGTACTGGACCTAATGGAGAGCTCTCTGTTTCCATACTGTTTACATCCTTCCACTGGCAGAATGAACCATTTATTCCTACATTCTTGTTTCTGTTCTTCAACTAGTTACTTATCCATAAGAGGCCTTTCTCTCTTATTTCATGACTGCTAAGTTTGTTCAGGGGTCTTTGGTGAAGGACTTTGTGAATGGCCTTTTGAAAGTTCAAGTAAAGAATGCCTACCAGATCAACCCTGTGCATGTATTTATTGGTGGGAGTTTCAAGAAAAACAAAAAGAAATACTTCATTGGCAGCAACATCTGCAATGAGGTTAATGGAAATTAGATAATTTCATTTGGGATAATGGTAGCAACAGCTATTAATATTTATGCACATATGTGACCTCCAGGATCAATGCTACCTCTGGATTCTCAGCAGGAACAAAAGTAGGAGGGGACTGTGACCCTCATGCCCTATTTTCCAGAGTTATTTCATTACTCACTGTGGAAAAAGGACACTGGACCAGACAGGCCTTCGCATGCATCCAGCTGGACTCCTCTTAAGTTCTTAAGGTTATTGCATAGCAAAAACAGAACAGCAAAGATCAAGGCGGCCACCACATCTTGTGTTAACCAATCCCATCATTAAGCTTATGTTGCTTGAAAACATACACCTCTGTTTGTCTCTTGAATGTTCCACCATTCAGCTTCATTGGATGACCCCGGGCTATATTGTCTCTCTTTCACATACTTGCATGCACACCCAGACAGAAAACCTCCATATCGTGCTTAATTTTACAATTAAGTCATATTGTAGTTATGTGCACTATTAAGCAAGAGATCAGATCCTGCATATTTGCTATTCATGTGCATGATTTTTTTTAGTTAACTCCAAGGCCCTTATTTCATACCTGTGCATCCTTCTATGCTAAAATGACACCAATCTATGTTAAATCACACCAATGCAATCAATATGTTTGCTGTTTTACAGAACCAAATTAATCAGATGTGCATGCATCAAATCTGTCAAACCTGCTGTCAAACCTTTCTGTTCACTGTAAACAGTGCACTTCTTTCAGTGCTAGACTTTTTTTACAGAAACAACATGCTGTGTGTGGATATTAAATGGGTCTCACCCATGACACAGTCAATGTGTTTGTGGCTCCGGCCTTCTGGCCGATATTTCCCACTTTATAAGGTTATGAGTTGGGGGAAGGCAGTATTCCTCTTGATTTATGCTTTCATCAAATATACAAAATCACTAATAAGCAATACAGTTTTTAATATAAAGAAATATTATATAAATGGAAGCAATCCAAACTTTGTTTCAAAGCAGTTCCACCCTTCAGTTCAGCTGCACTATTCACACCCTTTGGCCTCTCCACCCAGACCTGCCAGCCAGACTCTCACCTAGTATCAGCAGATAACAGGAACCAGCATTGGCTCAAGATCCATTCGTAGCCACAATATCACAAGTATCAATCCCTAAACTATGAACACCCTATTGCTGCCAAACCTTCCCAAGTAACATTGCACATATGTTATTCAAGGAACAGATACAAGTGCTTCCAAATTGTACAACATGCATCTAACAGATGTTTGGCCTGTGCTGGTCTTGTCTGTTCCTAATAGACAGAGAAATTGTGAGACCATGACAAATCTTATAATTTCTTTGCTACCTGGAGCATTAAACAAGGCCATTTGCCGCCTCGGGCAGTGCAAAATGCAACACACTTATTGTCAAAATGTATGCATAAGTGTGTCTATGAACAACTAGGCACAAGTAATCCCCGCTAGCTTTTTATTTTGCTGGGAAGCCTCTCCCCATTTGAGAACTCAGAAATAAATAATCAGGGCTCAGAATTAGTCACTCATATTAATACAGATTACAAGAGTGGGGCAAAAGCGTGATCCATGAGGAAAAGTTTGAACTATTTATAATATGACACATCTATTGCCATTCTTATTTCAATTGAAAGAAAGGAAGGAAGCAAGCAAGCAATTCTTATTCAAGACATTTCATTTAAACATGCTTAAAGGTATTTGAGCACCATTTGTTTTCAGTTGTTGGAAAATACAATAGTGTACTTCATGTTACTGTGCAGAATAGTTTTCTTGTTTGAAAAACAACAATAAACAATTATTAGATACATATAACTGGCCTTTTATTTCCAGAAAAGGAATTGTTCCACTTACCTGTACAAAGTGGTCAAGAGAAACTTAGAAGGGATGAGTGGAAACTGACAAATGACTAAGAGAACAAGTGGATAAGATGGAAAAACGGGTAATTAGGAAAGCTGGGAGGTTCAGATAATAGTTTCCTTTAAGCGAAGTGCATGTATATTTATCCATCCATTTATTTATTTATATCCCACATCATTTATTTATGTATTTGTTTATTTATAACCCAAGGCATTCTCCTCCTCCTATAACAACCACCCTGTGAGGCAGGTTGGGCTGAGTCTGTGACTGGCACAAAGTCCCAGCTGGCTCCATGACCAAGCAGGCAACAGACCCCAGACTGACGGAGTCCCAAACCACACTGACTCTCATATTTAATGTTAAATACACTTGTCTAAACTACAGGTGTTCAATCACATATCTAAAATTCAACAAAGACAAAAAAGAAAAGTTTATTTTTCACGTTTGACCTCTTCTCAGCACCATCAGTTGGTGTGGAAAACTACTGGGAGGCAGAAGCATGTTTTTACCAGTCAATTTTACTGACTGCTAAAAGACTGAAGAGCACTTTAAGTGCCCATCTGTAAATTCTCAAAGGGTATCAGAATTTTTTTTAAAGGTATTATTTTTATTTGGGGGGAAGGTTATACATTTGGCATAAAAAGACTGCATGACACTTGAGTGCACAAGATAATCTATTATTTAGTTTTTATACTGTTAAGCTGTATTTATCAAATTCACCCAGTTAACATTAACAAAAATCTAACAATTGTACACTGTTACAATATATGCATCATATGTAGTCATATTTATTTTAGACTTACCAAGACAAAAGATGTCTCAGTTATTCACCTTAGTTACAGTGAGGTATATACTGATGAAGACATTATCTTCTTTGTGTAATGTGCAAACCCAATAAACAGATATACCAAGTCAGTACAGAGTTGAGTCAGCTTTTCCTGTTACCACTTTTGTCTGGCTAACTCTTGCAATGCTATTCTCCATAACTGAGTACACCAGTGTGAATTATTTCTATCCTTAATGTTATCAGAATAAAAGTAAGTAATTCTTTGTAAGGCAAGGCTTTACTTTCTTTGTCCAAAATAAAGCTAACTAAGAATAGATGATAATAATTTAATTCCAGGGAACATGAACTAAAAACCAGCTTCCCAATATCAATTAATCTTATTTCATAACCACGGCAGAGTTATAAAAGAATATCTGCACTAGCACTTTGGGATACTTCATCTGTAAATGATTGAATACTATTACAGGCATCAGTAAAAGTGTATTTTCTTTATGCACGCTAAAGTAAATTTTAATGTTACTCAAAGCACTGACCATTTTTCATCATCTGGCTTAAATTCCACATGTGTTTTAACATTCCAATTCTCCAGTATTTTCGCCTAGTGTGTTAAAGATTATTGAAACTATTCTGTTATTATGTGGTCTGATTATTATGACATTGCCTTTATAACCTACCTCTTTCCTCATGTGAAGAGGTAGCTTCCATTTTCTCCTCATAAGAACCCTGTGAGGTAGGTTAGGCTGAGAAGCACCCAGTGGCTTTCATGACAGAGGAGTGATTAGAACCCAGATCTCCCAATCCTCAGTCAAGCACTCTAAGCACCACCCATACTGACTATATTTCAAATGTTATAATAACTTATTTGCTTGATTCTTCATTAAGCTGAACATGAGTTAACTGCTGAACTTGTAATCATTCTGCACAGACATCTTTCAGCTGATATCTGTTTTGATATCTGAACTACAAATTTCAATTTGTCATTTGCATATAAGCCCCTTGGTTCTGTATAGATCATCTGTTTCCCATCTTTTGAATTGTTTATGCTCATCAATGCAAGTATTGGGTCTAAAATTGGGATTAAAGGGGTCATAGCCAGTTATTATTTTCTTCACTTTTGCCATACTCAGAGGATCATTCATAAAAACAGGTCATTAATTTCTTTTAGATTTCTGATTTTTTGTCTCTTAAAATGTTATCTTCTAAGGCAACAGTCTTATAACCTTTTACCTGTACCTGCTCCACTGAATCCAGTGAGGTTTCCTTCTCTGTAGACATGTAGGATGTAATGGAAATGTGGGAATCCAGCATTAATATTTTTAATAAATATGAGATATCTACACATTTTACTTAAGATTCCACTAAAGTCAGTTGTGTTACAATTTTCAAAAAGTATTGCAATTTTTATTTTCCCTCTGTTACTTGCTTATTTACTACTTGTTTACAGTGTTTCAAATCATAACTTAACCTTGGATTGTTTAACACCTGAGCAACCAGAAGTGTCCAAGTGCAGATTTCATGCTATGTTTATTAACTGAAAGTGGAAAAGATTATGATAGGCAGTGTGCTTGTTCATTCCCTCTTACTGTAATTCATGATTTGAAGTATATACATATATATATACACACACACACACATTTTTATACATACAAAACAAGACTGAGTTGTTTGTGATTAACAAACCACGTTTTCTTAGTGCAGCTGGGTTCATACATCAGAACTCAGAATACAACACCTATACCTTAGCTATTATGTTCACATCTAGTTAATGGACAAGCAGATTCACAGAGACATGGAAATAATTAAATAATTTCTATAATAAAATGACCACAAA